GTTACAATGTTTGTTACTCTTTTGGTATTCAATGGCCATGCTTCTTAGCACGACGCTCCTTGGGTTGTTAGAATGTTAACTGGTTATTGTTATGTTGTCAACTGTCCACTGTCCAGTCTGTTTTTCCATTGTGCTGCTTTAGTTCCAAAGCCTCCATTCCTTCCACAGAAGCCATCTCCTGACACTTATCCCCGTGTGTCGTAAGTTAACAGTCTGTGTTGATAAAGATGGGAAGGAAGCCCTTTAACCAATGGCCTCCAACTTCACATCTGTTGTTGTTGCTTTGCTGCTGCTGTTGCTGCATGTTGCTGCTCTTGATCCCGCTGTCACTTCTAACAGCTGACGTCTTTTTGCCTCTCCCCTCCCCCCTGTCCCTTTTTAATAGGTCACGTTTTGCCAGTTCATGTCCTCAGTTGATTGTCCCTTTTGACTTCTTGAGTCTTTATTCTATTATCATGGTCCGTTGAGTTGCTGTCCTTCTGTATCGAGGCATACTACTTTGCTAACAGTTTTTATTGAACTATGATGTGTCAAAATGTTCGTCGCAGTCCAAGAACACAAATAAAAAGGAGCTATCGGCTCAACTCCTTCGTAGAATCGACGCAGGCAGTCTTGCATTTCTGGATCTCCCTGGTAACGTCATTAAACTTTGATTGCTGACCTGGTTTTTGTCCCTTGATTAGCCAAGGTGATGTACTATACTATTAAGGCTAGCATATGTCTACTGTAGATGTTCTCAATCCAACAAGATCTAAGTAACCCACAAGACTACATCGTATAAAAGAACTTTCCAAAATGTCGTTTTCGCGTTTCTCACACAGGTACTCTTGTTTAAAGTGTTCCTTGGGATATAGTGTACAGTCACAAACCGCAATTTCCCTCACTCTTCTATCTTCTTCACAAAGGAAGCCTCCCTAAATGCTGCTGTCTTTCAGTCACAATGTTGAGTTCGTTTTTTTTTTTCAGTCAATGTACTACCGACGTTCTGGTAGCACCAGGATCCACAAAGACAGAAAACAGGTTATCACACAATCACAACAAATTCTAACATAAAACAGCTAAAAACAAGGCAGTATTTCTCACAATACTTTTTCAAAAAACAATTCAATCTACTACGATACCACATACAGAAAACAAACTTCACTGGGACGAACTTTGGAAGTCCATCTTTGTTTACCAGTGAAATCAAAAGGGTTTCTTTCGCCTTCTCGGAGCTCGTCAGCTGCGCTACCCTCAGACTGGTAGGAGCTGACTTTAAACGTTCTGTCGAAAACTGTCTTGACAAAATTCTGTTGTTTGCATGTCAGTCATGTAATTTCTACACATCTAAGAGTTACATCAGCCTCGCAATCTACTTATCTAAGAGGCAGTAATTTTGCTGGAATAAAGATTAAATGAAAACGGAAATTGACCACTCACATTTTAGGAAAAGTTAAATCAGGTTTAAAAACTTTTCATTGTGTCATAAACTGCCCCGTGGGCCCTAAACTGTATTGTACAAACTTTATTTTATCATCAATATATTCACAGTTCATTTTAATTTGGTAAATTTCTGGAAATTTGCCATGTAACAAAGTAACACAAAAAAGTACATTAAACTCAAAAACACAGTACACAAACATACACACAAATGGATCCATACAGGCTGTCTAGTCTGTATACTTTCTTGTCCTGTCTTGTCGTTAAAGATTCTTGAATCCCGAAATGTGTACAGCCAGTTGGCACACATGGGAACAAGAAATTTGAAGCCCACACGTGGGATAACCAGTTATCGACCAGCGGGAAACTTCTTCTTTCATCATCATCTTCATCATCATCATCATCATCTTCATTTAGCTGGTGGCGTCTTGAACCTCTTGTGGTGTGCGCCAACAAACAGCTTAGTACAGTTAAGTTGAACTGGTACCAGCGATGTTAAGCTACAGTATTAATGTTCATTGTTAACTCTATGTTTGGTTAGTCAGTAAGCAATTAGTCATCCTACTTGTCTTTACACAAACGCATTAGATGCAGAGGTGATCAAAGTAAAGACAGCAAACAGTTGTCAGTCTTAGATTTCAACTCCTGTAACCGGTGTCTACAAAAAGTCTTTAAAGAAAATCAATAACCAAAAAAAAAATTTAATTTAAACAAAGTTTCTATTAGGATTTTTTCCCAATCGACCAAAAGAAACTTCTGTCTCTTCAAATTTTCTTTTGCCCATTTCAAAGATGGAGCTCACTCAAGCAGCAGCTGAGAGCTATCACACCATTTCACACATAATACTAAATAATAAAATGAACATTAAATCTCACAAGCTATATTTCTTCAGCCCCAACAGACTTCTGCTGGTTTTTGTTGGTTATAAGTTCTACTATGTTGTCTATAAGTTGACCATTAATAGACCACAAAAACATTATCACACTTGGGTATATATATTAACTTACTTAATTATGAGATTAACTAAATAACACCTATCAGCTATTTATTTGTTGTCCAGTCATGTTGTCTTGTGTGCACTGTATGTTGTAATAGCCATTCTGAGTATCGTTGCAACAAATAATGAATACAGCAACAAAAATAGAAACAAAAATAGACACAAATACAAAAAACCTTTTGGGGGATGACCCGCATACGGGTGTATCGACCACAAAAAATGTTTTAGTTGCTTCTTGGTTCCTCTTTGATCCCCAGTCTCAACAGAAGGACAGCTGCAATTGGCACAAACCAAGAGGTCACTATCTGTATTGACCTTATTATTATTATTATCATTATTATTACTGATAACTGAACATATTTCACTTCCATTATAAATAAGCTCACTGTCAGTTCCTGACTAAAATTGAATATTGTTCACTGTCAAATACCTGTCTGTCAACAATTGCTGATAGTTTTCTTAAAAAAACTGAACTGCTAAACTAGTTGCAACACTTAAAAAAGTACAATTCTACATGACAAGTGCACAAGTGAATGAGGCTTGTGTAAGACGCTTCAACAGGCTACTGGCTCTATCAGCTTTTAACTGGTCAGCATGTTGTTCTACTTCTGTGCCGAGTATGTCTAATGTTGATGTAAAAATGAAAAACTGTAAATAATGATAATCACATAGCCCTTGGGGAAACCAGTCATAGGTTTTCAACCAGCAAGGAATCCAGTGTGTTTTCTTCTTTCTTTTCTTCTTCCTCATCTCCATCTAGTTCCAGGACATCTTCCATCAGCACTGGCCGACAGGTCACCAGCAGAGATAAGTTTCTAATGACATTAATTTATTAACTCCTACTTTGGTTAAGGCAGTATTAATATTATTAGTGGTAAGTTATCTTTCATTGTGTTAGAGTGATTTTACTTGACCCACGAAATAGGTACTGGACTACTTCCCATTATTGTATTCCCTAATTCTTTAGTTTTCTTGAAACTATTTTGCACTAGTTGTTAGTACCTGTTTCACGGGTTTCGTAAATCACTCTACGATATTACTAAGTTATTTCTTCCCCTCAACCTCTAAAAATGACTAAAAAAGTATATAATAATAAAATGAAAAAATGTAGATTTAAAAATAATATTGTTTATAACCGTCCAGTCACTACTTGTAGTAAGTTTAATTACTGTTTTAACGTAATGTTTGTGTACTCAAAAGTAAGCCCCTTTTGTGTCGTTTCGTCGAATTTGGTTGGCATTTGTGTACAGTTAATGTTCTGTTGACCGATGCAAGTAAAAATAATATAAAACAAAATAATAAAATAGCCTATTGAGGACAACCAGCAGTAGATTATCAACTGCAATAAGCTTTGGCTTCTTCTTCTTTCTTCCTCCTCTTCAGCCTGCTTAGCAGGCAACTCATTTCACTGAGGGACGTCTTCTATCAGCATGCAGAGGCTGAGAGTTCACCAGCAGTGAAGAGTTTGTGATGTGTAAGAGGCCATTTCCAAGTTGCTGCAAGCCTCTTTTTCCAAAAGACCACAAAGTTTCAAGTCACTGTCTTTTATTTACAACCTATTCACTCAGAAAATTTGTAGTTGGCCACATTTTGAAAGCTAGAACTTTTGCAACTTGAAAATGGACTCTTGTCTTCTCTTAATAATAACAATCAGATTAATATTACAGTTAAGAGTACAATAAATTTAGCATCATTCGTGTAATACAACCAATAAAAAAACAGAAAGAAAAATGGCCGAAGAAAACTTCATGTCTTGTCAACTAATAGTAAAACTGTCACCAAAATAATGTTCAACATACATAATCTGCAGAGAATGGTACAAGTGAAACATCCCTTTAACAAAAAGTGACCTCTAAGACAAGTTAATCATTAACCCCTTAATTTCTGCTTGTAAACTGTCAACTATGAAGAGCATTTGACCAACACTGGGAAACAAAGAAACCACTGAGGCAACAGAAACTGCAGCAAGTTCCCTTACATCAAACATATTTTGTTAAGATACTAAGTGGGAGAATTTTGTTTTAATCTCTGTACCAACTTGCCCAAGCCACAGTAATGGACCAATTTCATAATCAAGGTCACCTAGCATTGAGGGTTGGGTGAATAAAAAAAAAATTGAATATGATCATTTTATCCCAGAAGCTCAATTTCACTGCTTATGTTTTTCCCACTCCTCAGATCTAGCAAAAAAAAGAAAAAAATTCTAACAATATTATTATTGGTGAATTGTTACCAGCTCAACAACTAATATTGCCCAGCACTGCCCGATATTGGGTATGTAAGGAGAACTTGTTGCTGATGTGAGTTATAAATAAAACTAGCCCTTTTCTTCCTTCAGTCAAGAATAAACTGCATTAGCTTTCAGTTGAGTAAAATAATTTCACCTAACTGAATATTACCCAATGAATTATTTTACACCTAGTTTAAAACTATTGCTAGTTTATTTCTAAGCTGTTGTTTTTAATTTGCTACTTTGTAAATAAAGAAACACACCCATAGCAAAATAGAAAGCTAATAGAAGGAAAAGGGCTAGAGCATGCAAAGCAACCTGATATATTTTGTTTGTACGAAAAAGTTATTTTACTTAAGCAAATGACTCAACAGTATCTCTGATTATTCCAAGTGATTCATGGAGTTGCTCTTCTGTGATGACAAGAGGTGGTGTGAACCGGATGATGTGATCGTGAGTGGGCTTGGCCAACAGTCCATTGTCTCTTAGTTTCAAACAAACCTTCCATGCATTAAATTCTGAAAACAAAAATTATCATATGTGAATTTCAAGCCTGTTTCATTGGAACAAGGTGGTCCGCCAACTTGAGAACTAACCAGGTTCTGTGCATGTTTAAGCTTAAAATTAATATATAAATATAAAAGACAGCCTAATAGAAGTTTCAATAAAAAGTTACATTTTTTACATGAGGGTAAGAAAAGGTTAACCAGCTTGGTAGGGAATACGAAGGGACTTAAAGTGATCTTTTATTATCATCCACACAGTAAATTTGGAGATTTTACAATCCTACAGATAGACTTTCCTGTTAAACAGTTACCCAGGCAAGACATGGCAAAAGGTACACATTAAACAATAGCATAATAAAAAACCTAACAACAGACTGGGATTAATATTATTTTTCTACAAACCCACCATCAGTAGCATGGATCTCAATCGCATTCATGAGCCCTTTGCCACGTGCAGACTTGACAACAGCTGGGTTCAGCTTCTGCAGTTCAGGTATCATGATTTCTCCCAACCTAGCAGAATGTTCAGCTAGCTTCTCCTCCTCTAAAACCTACAAGAACACAGCAGTGTCAAGCATATAGCCATTGAAACTGTGAAAGGTTTGAACCCTGGAGTCATTTCAAAAGTAACTTGACTCTGAAGATGATTACTGCACAGGTTGTCGAAACGTCAGTCACTGTCAACAACAACAGTCCAATTCAGGACAACATTTACCCGGACGATCAAACTCAACCTACTTTTGATATAGCCATTAGTTAAACAGGGATGAAGGCAAACACAGCTAAGTAAAAATTAAGTTTTGCATAAAGGATATTTTTGCTTTTGTTAGCATTAGTTACAATTGAGAGACCAAAGGTGTTACCACCAGGGCCCTGTTTCTCAAAAGTCCCAATAATTACCGGGTTGGGAAAGATGCTGTTGTTGCATTTAAGATGGAGGTTTCAAACATTTTCTACACAACATAATAAAACTATTAGTTAACAAAACAAAATGGACTGGTTTGTTGGCTGGGACCCCTGTTTTCATTCTTTAGATTTGGATTTGAATATTTGTTTTTGGCCCTTAAAAGTTGCCAGGCCTCTCAAGAAATGGGCAACGAAACAGTAAATTATGATGTGCTAATAAAAACAGTTAATGGTAAAGACGTGGTAACAGTCAATAAAAAAGTTCAAAAGCTTACTTTCAATGCAGTGATGGCAACTTTGCATCCAAGTGGGTTTCCACCATAGGTTGAACCATGCTACAAGAAACCAATAATGATGTCTATCAGTGTATATTCTTTCTAAGAAAACATGAAAATCTGTTACTATGAAACTCTCAAAACAGTGAATACAAAAATGTTTATGGGATGTTACTGTGTTGCAAGGAAAAAGCCAATAAGGCACGTGAAAACTACACCGCAAACAGAAACGGTAATCAGTTTGTGGCTTTGAGTTTTTTGCGTGTCCTGAACTTTATTGTAATTGATGGAAACACAATCAACATTCCTAAAAATTTTGGTGTTTACGGTTTTCTGAGTTTGACAGTAAGAAGCCATGTAAAATAACACATTACCTGTCCAGGTTTTATAGTAAGCATGACTTCATCATCACAAAGAACAGCAGAAACCTACATACAATTTCAAAAAAATTACCTCACATCAGACTCATAAAATTATTTTTATATCACATCAAATAATCTGTTCATTACTCATCCCTTTAATTTCAAAATTTAACAAGTCCCACATCAGAGATTTTCTGTAATTTAATCACTTCCTTTCAATCAGACAAACTCAATTCCAACCTTTTCAGGTTAGCAAGGTTGTACAATCATTGCCAGCTGTTGGCAACTTAGCTTTGCTATTGAGTAACAAAACTGTAAAGTGAATTATTCTAAGCCCCAATATCCACATACAAATTCTCTAAACTAATTTCTATACATTTCTTTAATTAATCAATACATTAAGCCATTGTTGAACATTAAACAATTCTCACAACTTTTATCTTAATGCTATAGAGGATATCACATGGTCGCGTGGAGATGTGAAATTTCTCTTCAAGTGTTGAAATAGTTTTTCAACACGAGAAGAGAAATTTTGTACCTCCAAGTGGCCATGTAATGTTCTATTTCTTAAACACCAATGAAATACCAAACCATTTTACTTAAATAGTTTTTTGGTCTGAAAGGTGCGGTTTATTGTGAAGCCATTGCAATGGTGATATTTTCACATGTGAAGATAACATGTTATTTTCACATGTGAAGATATCAAGTTTTCGCATGAAAGCTCACTTGGTATTTCATTGGTGTTTATATAATAAATATTGATAATGTTAAGATAAGATTGATGTCAGTCACTCTTTTCTTGAGAAACAAAAGTTAATGTTGGCATCCTAGAATCCAAGGTTCAAAACACTTGCAGAGTACAGCTTTGGGATAGTAACGCTTCAATCAAAAGAAAAGTAAAAATTAACAATGGGTTGTAACTTACAGGATAAACACCACCAGAGAGAGCCTTTCCAAGAATAACAAGATCTGGTCTGACATTTTCATGGTCCACAGCCAAGCGCCTTCAAAGTTAAAACACCCACCAACAATTATTAACACTTTTCTTTAACATCATTATGACAGTTAAACATTAACTCAATATACGGCTAGAAAAAATGAAATACCAGTGAGATAATACAAAAAATCTACAAAAAATATGTCAACCAGTTAACAAAAATTGTTTTCCCCACTTGAAACTTTGCCCTTGAGTACTTCATGGGAATAAGGGTTTCAAAACATATTGTCAGAACATACTTTCCAGTCCTACCGAGCCCAGTTTGCACTTCATCAGCTATGAAAAGAACCTGAGAAGCAAAGAAAATGGTACATTTAGTGTTATACCGTAAGATTGCGAAAATAAGCCCCGGGCTTATATTTTTCAAAGGCCCTTTTTGAGGGGCCTATTTTTGGAGGGGCTTATCTACGGAGGGAAATTTGCATTTCAAAATCGATTGGGTTAGCCTTGTAGTTGGTAGTTGGAAGGAAATTTACCAGAGGGTTTTTTGCGTTACGAGTTTGGGGGGTTTAGTTTCGGAGTTTTATGGCATCTAAGGCTGACAGCAACTTGTGGCTTCAGCTATCCCTTACTACACAAGATCTTTCTTTATCCCTTTCACTGCCAGAGTGAATAATGGAGTTTTGTAAGGAAGCTCTAACTTTTGAGTCTGTTGATGAAACCCAATGGGGTGACCATTCAAATGAAATCTCTCTACCTGTACTTTCACATTTTGCCACTTGTTTTTCAAAATTTTACAAAATGAAATTTGGGATTTTTGGTTGAATTTTCCCTTTGGCCACATTTGGCAGTGAAAGGGTTATAACAATAATAATAATCATAATAATAATAACTGTTTATTCACAACTTCATAGGAAAGAGAAAAGAAGATAAAGGAGGTTATCCTTTTCTAGTTTATCTCCTTATAATAAAATAAATTAAAACATTTATTATTTACAACTGTTTAAAATACTAAGTATAAAATATCACAAGTTTGAAGAACTTAGTGTTCACTAGAAAAATTTGCAAGATGACATCTCAGTCTGTTCTTAAAATTGTTCAAATTTTCCGCCTCAGCAATTTCCTTTGGCAAATTATTCCACTTATTGATTATGTGAAAAAAAAAAGAGAATGTTCAAAACTATTTAAAGTCGCGGATGCAAGCTTAAGTTTGAAACGGTGATTAGCTCTTAAGGGCCGAAAATCATTTGCAAATGTAAAAAATGCTCAGGGATGTAACCCATTAAGTCTGTTTATTGTTTTATCACACTCGATAAGCAATGAAAATAATCTTCTTCGTTGAAGTGTTGGCCATTTAAGGAACTTTAGACGTTCTCCGTAGGAGATGTCTGGCCCATTATTTCCAAGGGTACATTTGGATGCTTGGTTCAAGTTTAACAAGCAGGGAGGTTGTTAAGAGCCCGCTGCTGGCTAATTTCACTGGCTGAAAAAGAGCTTACCAACAGCTCAAAAAAAATAAATTTGAAGATACAGTTGAGTAAAAAAGCCGGTTGACTAACAAAAAAGCATTCCCAGCTTTTCCTTAGCTACAGTGTGTACATCCCTGACCAAGTAAAAAAACAATGGTTTGTTCAACAGAGGATAATGTTAGCATGGCACCCTGATATAATAAACACTTACATTATACTTCGAACAAAGCTCCCTGACACCTCTCAAATATCCATCATCAGGAATCTTAACACCAGCTTCACCTTGGATTGGCTCCACCATAAAAGCACAAGTGTTTGGGTCACTGATAGCTTTCTGTAAGAAGGATACAAACAAATTATGTTGACTGCTATACAATCAGGAGAATGCATTTGTTTGAATGCTATTCAGGAGGATATAAAAGGAGAAAACACAGCTAAGATGGAACCACACAAGCATCCTTCAAAAATTGAGTGTTTAATGCTATGTTTTCTACCACCATCCCAGTTGCTGTAAATAGTTTCCATGTTTCCCTTTTTCCCTTTGTAATTTTCACATTTGTCTGGATAGCCCTTTAATCTAACCACGTTGTGGTTGTTAAAAACCTAGATAGCACTATCCACTGGATAAATTACTATCCAGTGGATAAGTATTTGGGAAACTAAATTTGTTACTCACTGGAAAAAGATATCTAGCGGATAGCACTATCCACTTTCTGAACAACTGGGGCATACAAGACTGTGATAGGCTCAATAGTCATGCATTGCATCAAAGGTGTTTCTATAGTATTTTTTTTCCTGCTAATCTCCCATCCCGCCCTTCTTTACTGTTAAATCCCAATCCAACCCAAATGTTAACCGTTGAAAAAAAAACAAAAACAAAAACAAAACAAAAAAAAAACACCGTTGAATAGACCTTGTCATGGTTTTCAACGCCATCTTGACGAGTAGGCAAACCCGTGAGAAATTACAGTGTTTGCAGGAGCATCTAATGTTGAATAATTTCCGCAAAACGGCTTGTCTGAAAAAAATATAAATTGTAAACTAAAGCTACAAAGCAAATGAATTACTAAAAAATTTTGGGGGCGTATCTGTGCTTAAATTTCTCCAGAAGCTTGCCTTAGATCTTCCATATATTTGTCTGTACTTTTTCCCGCGACTTTCTTACAGACAAATGTATAGAAAATTTAAAAACGTGTCTGTAGGTCTTCTAGCCCATGAAATGCCCTAAATTTTTTTCAGTAGAATCCTTAGGAGTGAAGCTTTAGTTTACCGTTCATATTTTTTTCAGAAATGCCGTTCTACGGACATTAGATTCTCATACAAACACTTGAGAAATGGTAAACGTGCAGCATGCAACCATGGAGTTGTGGATGCACGCGGGAGGTTGCTAAGCACAAAAGAAGCGTAAGAGTCACCGAGTGCGACTCTAGCTTCTTGAGTGCTTAGCAAACTTTCCAAGAACATCCATAACTCCATGGTTGCACAGCTGCAACGTTTACCATTTCTTTTATAACATAATCAAACAGAAAAACATTATTTTCCATTTGCCTTCGGTTGAGTCATCGGTCCGAGTTCATGTATGCTGCCATCTACCCGCCCCTTTGAGTTTTTCTTTCGCCGAATCAACCGTTGTGCGTCTTCAGCTCTTCAGGTAAATTGCAAAACGTTTTTCGTTGTTATTCTGAATGGCATCTGTCTACTTGCTCTTAATATTAGGGTAAAAACTTTGAGGGAAAACTATAGCTGCAACTATAAACACCAACTAAAAAGACTCTAAAAAATAAGCTAAAACCAAATAAATGAAATAATTATCAAGCTTATTTATGTGACAATTTTTGAAATAAACGTAAAGTAGAAATGAGAAACTTTGACTGTGATTCCTTTATTAACACTAATTTTAAAAAGAAATTACCGGTAACTAGCTTTGTATCGAAATCTGTCTGAGGAAATCCAGCTATGAAAGTCAAAGTTATAACCAAAATTCGCTGACACACAGCCGGCGCTGAAGCCGTTACCGTTCTCTGAATGACTGTTATGAATGAACACTGAGGAACAAAATAATACACACAGAAGTTATTTTTTGAAAAATTTATTTGAAAACCCAAATATTTCTGTACTCAAATGAAATTCGCTTATTGCAGTGTAATGTGCCCGTTTAAACTCAACTAAAACTTTTAATCGATGCGATGAAAACTTCACAACAAAGCTGTCTCGAATTTGAGAGTGTTTCCTAAAATATTTGCTTGAATTTAGCATCAGCTTGACCAAAAAGTCAATAACACAATGCTAATTGATAAATGTACATTTCAAACAGACTTTCTCTTCTATAAAAAAACACATAAAATGTACCATGAATCTTCGCTCGCTCAATTTTACTTCAGCCGATTCTAGCTGCGAGGAAAACAGTGATTAATACATCCAGGGCAAATCTGTCACTTGATCTTTTGTCTTTTTTCTTTCAAAACGACAGCTTAGTACTTTCTTCAACTTCCACTTTTCATCTGTGCATTTCATCGATGTATTTTACTGTCAGGAGAGGAGATTTGATGAATTTACCTAAATTTTACTGCGCTAGCTCAGTTTCTAGGCGTGCACCCACGGGCAAATGGTAGTCGCTAACTGACCAATCAGAGCGCGCGATTTACTTTTGTTATGTTGTAAAGTAATTTCTCATGCGTTTGCCTACTCATCAAGATGGCGTCAAAAACCGTGACAAGGTCTATATGGCAAATCATTTTATAACATAGCTAGAAAATTCCCCTCATCAAATCCAATAGCGCGAGCATGCTTCATATTCCTATTGAGCACACTGATATTCGTAATTCCTCGAGTTGTTGTGAGCTTAGCAATCCTGAGTCTCCTGAGTGCATCCAAAACTCGGCAGTACACGATAGCATGTTTACCATGTGTTTTATAAGGAAATTTAAGAGGAAACGTTTGAATTTGTTAACCGATAGTAAGGAAAAGAGGTGAGTGTTGTTGTTGTTGTCATCTCCGCGAGCTGTGCGGGTTATAATGGCGTGAGATCATTCTTTGCAAAATTGTTTTCTCTCAATAACAATTTTTCGGTGAATTAATAGTTTTCCGGCACCTAAATATGGATTTTACAATCATTTTAGAGTACACTTTCTCTCAGTTTCAGGATAAAAACATAAGCTTAACTGTGAGGAAAAAAAATCTACTCTCATAAACATTGACGCGTACAGCTTTGAGCGCGCCCTACAATAATAAAATTTTAAGTTAACTGATGCATTGATCACTTTGATAATGTTATAAAATAATTACTTCATGCTGCAGCTGTTCGTATGTCGAGATATTGAGCATTTGGGAAGTTTGGAGAGCACTCAAGAGGCTAGAATTGCACGAGGCACAACTCTTAGGCCTTTTTCGTGCTCTCCAAACTTACCGCGTGCTCAATATCTCGACATACGCACGCTGACGCATCAACTAATTGTTAAAGGGTAAGATTTCTACACAACCCCACACATTTATTACGCTATTTATATTAACTATATATTTGTGAGAAATGGTATGATATTGCTCCATGCCTAATAAATGCAAGCTCATGAAAAGGAAATCTTACCCTTCCATATTTTACATACTGTTTACCAATGAAGAATCACGTTTTGTGCTTTCAAGGCTAATAATATAGAAACTGATGAGTTGTTCGAAATGTAAAATGAAATTTGTTCGTCGAATTATCAGTTACCCGCAACAACCAAACATCGGTCTCCCACAAGAGAGCACACTGTATAAGAATCTCAGATCATTACGTACGGTGTGGTGATTCACGGTGTGGTTGTTGCACGTGGCATCAATTTACACGATTGTCTGCGTCCAACGAAGCAGCTACGTCTAAAATAGCTTACCTCCAAAGCAGCAAGGTCGTTGTAAGGAATAAGTTCAAAACCAGGCATAAATGGGCCATATTCTCCATAGCAGTCAGGATCAGAAGATGACGATACTGCGGCAAGAGTCCGCCCCCAGAAGTTCTCTTCAACAAAAACAATCTTTGCTTCGTTCTTTGGTATTCCCTTGACTTGATACCCCCATTTCCTTGCAAGTTTACACGCGCTTTCGCCACCTTCAACACCAGTGTTCATCGGCAAGAGCTTGTCGTAGCCAAAAAGCTTAGTCGCAAACTCTTCAAATTCGCCCAGAACGTTGTTGTAAAATGCTCTGGATGTAAGCGTTAGAACTTCAGCTTGTTCTTGCAGTGTCTTCACTATTCTAGGATGGCAATGACCTTGATTTACGGCCGAGTAAGCGGCGAGAAAATCGAAATATCTTTTGCCAGTGACATCCCAAACGAATACGCCCTCTCCCTTTGACAAGGCTGCTGGCAAGGGATGGTAGTTATGAGCGCCGTACGTGTCTTCGCGCTTGAAAATTTCTTCTGGGGACAGTTTACTTGTGGTCGCAGCGGCTGGAGCGGAATACTGTCTCGCTGCTAGGCGAAACAGGTTTCGAGCACAGGAACGAAGCATTGTCAGAAGCGAAAGAATATAACGAACAAAACTAAAAGGCAATTAAATATATCTATCTTTCCAATTTTAACTCAATTTGGAAGTCATTACGCTCGTCACATCTACTTCAGCCATCAGCGACCAGTTCGTTCAAGAAAAAGGGAGAAGTTGGAGGCGGGCGCTGTTAAATCAACACGATACTAACCATATATGGTGTATGACGTGTCAATCTATGCTAAATTATGCAAAAATAAATTGTTCCAAATCACCAAACATTTTATAATTTTCTCAAGGGCACCTCTTAAAATCTTTTCTTCACTGAAAAAATACATCGTTTGTATGCTAGGGTTTTGACTTCTGTTAACAATGATGTGGAGGAGGAGGATGTTGATAGAGATATGGACGATGACAGAGATGATGATGATGATGATGACAAATAATGATAAGGAAATGTAGTTTGTCATAAAGGCAGGATAGGATCCTTAGTAGTCTTCTATACAGCCATTCTTTGTCTCGTCACACAACCCCCTCCCCATGGAGTGTTGTGTGACAAGAACAAAGAATGGCTGTCAGGAGGAAACTAGACCCCGTGGTTAGTTACAAAATTAAAGATATCAAGATGTGAGCTGTGGATGTCTTTGCTGGACGGCAACTAGTTAAAACGTTCATTTCTATCAACTAATGAAAAAAAAACAGTAAAAAAAAACCAATAATAATGATCATAATACACTAAAGTTTGTAAATTGGGGCATCATTTTGTGATACCCATAAATATTTTTTTTAAGGATCAATATGGGTCATAAAGGAAAAAGATCCTTTTTATCCTTTTGTGCTTTAATTACAGCCCAATACTAGCTTGAGAATGCAAAATGTCAGCTGTTTACTCAGGCTAGCCCACCAATGGTCATCAAATCTTTTTCCATCGAAATCTGCTCCTTCTGCACATGGGGGTAATACTGCATGCATGGCAACATCAACCCCATAATTCTTGTATATTTTAAGTTAGAAGCATGTGCTTCTATTAAAGTTTATTTGAACATTATTCTCTATTATATTTGCTCTCCACAACTGGAAATCATAGACATCACAGTCATCAGGGACTGCAACATAAGTTGGGAGACTTATATGGAACATTCCTGTTCAGTCCTGACACATCCCAGATTTCTGTAATGGCTCAGTGGCAATATGTACTGTTGGGGATGATAAAGGGATTAATGGGTGATCACTCTTGCTTGGTCCCAATCCTTCCACAATGTAGCTGCAGTCTTTCCCCTTATGATGAAAAAAAAAACAAAACAAAAAAACATTTGGCACAGACTCTGGAATTCAACCCTCCAAGTTGCGACTATTTTAATCGCTATGGTGACTAAATTTTGAAGCTGGTGACTTGATTTGTAAAAACGTTTCCCTCAACCAAAAGAATTGGTTGCCAAATGGCAACCAAGCAAAAACTTTAACTTGGAGGGTTGGAATTTTTCGTTATTTTTTACTAAAATCTTAGGTTAAATCAGGGTGGAATCCCTAATCACCTAGGATTTTCCAACACATGAAAATTACACCACTAGACAAAACCTGTTTAAAAAAATAAAAAGACTTTTAATTTAAAACACACCAGAATTAATAACTTAATATACCAGTATCTATAGGGAACTATTATGTCAGCACTGAGATTGATCACCATTATCACACTACTATGATTAAGAAAACAGTATATTATGTCAAGTAATATGTAATTCTACCAGTGAATGACTATTTGGTCTCCAATACGACTTTAAACACCGTAAAATTTCGTTCCAGATAATTCAAATACTATTACACGTACATTGGGCGAGTGAAATATGAGAAAAGCCATATATTGAAATAATAATATTTTTCCTTGAGTTAACGGTGAAATAGAGATCCACAAGTCACTAACAAGCACACAGTGTCATGTATTATACCCCTTAAGAATTATCACTATCAGCACAATAGCTATGTCAATATCAGGATTATTATAACCCAACAATTTGGTTCGGTTACCAAAGATGATTATAATAATATTTATTGCAATGAAAGCCCCTATGGCCATTTTTAGATTATTATTTTAAACCTATCAGTTTGTTTTGGATTATTGTAACGACCAAAATGTCCCTCTGGCAATTGAGGCCCTCTTAGGGGGGGGGAGGGGGATATTTATGTCCCTAGTGTGAATTTCAAATATGCTCTTTTCACATTTTGAGGAGTAAGTTATGTCCCTGTCAAACTTTAAGTCATCTGCATGTTTTTGTTGCCCTCTCATCTAGTCAAGTATTGCCGTTTCCAGACTATGTCCCTTGTCTGAATTTTACTCAACCAGGGCCTCAAATTCCATCAAACAATCCTAGCTGTCTTTAACAATTCACAATATTATTGCAATTATGACACTTTTTTTTAATTATAGCAAACAGATTTCATTAGCAGTCCTACAGTCTTAAGGACAGCAATTTGTAAATACCAAATTGAGTTAATATTTGTTTTTCTGAGTCTATGAATCATAACAATCCCCTAAACTAATAGTACCATTTCAAAATTCCAAAAGGGCTAATAAAAAATTTTGATTAATTTTCAATAAATAATATTAATATTGAAGTTTCTTCAAAGCCCTTTGTTGAAGTAGACATATTCCATTGGAGGTCCTCCCCTCTTCTTTATCTTTTCTTGGAGTTCTGGTTCAAGCTTTGAGACTGCTATAGAACTGCAACAAAAGGAATCAAAATAAGTCTACAAAATCTTTAAATTGCAGAGCCACTTTGCCTCCCTTACACTTTCACCCATGTGGTTTCTTATTCCTGTGGTTTTTTCATTCATTCATTCATTCATTCATTTTATTTTGCCTTTAACAAGAAATACAACAACAGTATACAGAGATACATGAAAGATAATATACAATATTCCAACCAAATTATTTACAAGATCAAATGTGGTAAAGGCAAGGAAGGCTATATAGACAGGGCTTCTGATGTTTCGCGCGGTCGTGGAGCCGCGAAATTCAGGTAAATCTGTGAAATCCTGCGAAATTCACAAAAACACGCAAAATACCGCGAAATTCGGTAGAAATCTTATCATTACAAATACATGCCTGTACAGCAATTTTGAAACTTGTCTAAGCTACTGGGGGTATTTACTTGCCATAAGCTCGCAAATTTATGAACAACGTTCCGAAACCACCAAAAAATTAGTTCCACAATGAGATACATCGTTTGTTTTCAACTTACAGTGTAAACCCATTCTCCACTGGGGATTTTGGTGAAAAATCCTATTTCCAGCTAGTCAAACCATTTTCTGCTTACATGCATCTCATAACCACCCAAAATGTTGTTTGCAAGTCAGGCATTCATATTAGCTTATGTCTCTAATGCCAAATGAAATTCTAAGGTTTGGACACACATTTACAGAAAGCAAAAAGCGATGCTGGCCCCAAGACTTACACCTTTGCTACCTCCCCTTTTACTTAATTTCCCCTTTTGACCTCTCTTCCTTCTTTTTCTCCCTTTTTTTTCACCATTCACAATATACATTATTTTTGTAATAAGCAATGTTTCTGCAAAAAAGCCAGACAAGGATTTTGAAATAATTTTCAAGAACACGTAAATACAAGCGCACCATGGGAAAAGTTCATTATTACTCAAATTCTCTAGTCCAAGTTAGTGGTAAATAACTTTTTGCATTTTCCCTAGCCTGCCCGGCTGAATCAAGCTTGTATGGGTATATGGTTTGGAAGGATGCTTCCCCCCCTACAAAAGTTAAGGATGAACATCAAATCTGATTATATCATTCAAGGGACATGGTTTGACAGAGTAGTGTCTGAGGTGCGCTTTTAAACGCTAGAGTCAAGCCAGAGTTCTGACACTCATTACAAGGACGTAACCCTGATAAAAAAATCACAAGGACAACAGACGTCACAGAAACAACACTCGTCATTGGTAAATAAACTTGTCACAGGGATGATTAGCTTGGTCATACAGGCATTAAAGTAATTTTTATGTGTTCAAAACAAAATCTGACACTCATTACAAGGACGTAACCCTGATAAAAAAATCACAAGGACAACAGACGTCACAGAAACAACACTCGTCATTGGGAAATAAACTTGTCACAGGGATGATTAGCTTGGTCATACAGGCATTAAAGTAATTTTTATGTGTTCAAAACAAAATCAACTAACCTTCTTTGTGGGAAGATTGCACAACATAAAGGAGTAGCAAACACCAAGCTGTGAGGATGATGAAAAATAAGAAGAAGCCAAAGTTAAAATACTAAAATTGTGACTGAATAAGTGTTGATTGGATGACTCTTAAAAGAAATATTGTACAATGACAAAACAGAAAATTAAATTTTCTTGAATGTTGTTCTTTTCTAGCAGGGAAAAACAAGGCAAAAGATATAACCCTAGGCATGTACTGTACTAAGGTTCTAGTGTATGTTCAGCTAGAAAGTACTGACAGTAGCCCTTCCACTAACATGGAACAATAACTCTCACCTCAGCCTACAATGTATCTGCTTAAAACATTTACATTGGTCTGTAATTAAATTAGCAATTAAATTACATGAAATTAGCAAAACTCACCACAGTCCAACCAGACACGTTTGGATAGGAGAAGCTAAAATTGGCCACCGCTATAACAACAACAAAAATGACAACCTACATGTAAGTATATGTATTAAAGACTACTTTGTGAAAAAGAGGATAAGACTTCACTTGCCTGTTAGAAAACTGAAAATTTATGATTTAATAAATAATAAATGAATAGAAAATAAAGGCGTTGTCAAGAGAATACACAAATTACTTTTCCCAGTTTGCATGTATGATTAACACATCCTATGGAACTAAATGCAAGATTACCTTCATAAATGCCTTTGAATCCAAGTAGTTCATTATAATTGGTGGAATAGCTGAAAAGTGAAAACAAAGACAGATGAAAATGCAATCTCAGATTTATATTATTAACATCTAAGAACAGTCAGCTTGAATGACAGATGAGCAACAAAACATTCAGTGAATTTGAATGTTAGAGTTAACATTACTATTGACATACACTGTAATTCATGACTGCTGATAGAAATGAAATATCTGTTGCAGTATGTTAACTAACAGTCCCATTCAGGACTACACACTCATCCACACAATCATTCTCAATGCTAACTTGTGACACAACTCACTGGGGTTCAAACCAAAAGTGCTACCCTACGTGTAGTCTCCCTCGCAGCCGTTTTTTGGATGTCACGCAATTTGGGTTGCGTGACATCCAAAAAACGGCTGCGAGGGAGACTACCCTACATGCAGAGGTTTCTCTCTTGCATGGCTTTTAGCGTTTACGAAGACATTCGCGTCACTTGTCACTTGCAAGTTACTGGCTCTTGGATAAGATATATTATCGTCATTATACATTCAACTACATTACTTACACATTCCCGGAGATGCCATTACAATTCTTGAAAATACAACACTCGCTATGGCTTTTCTTGCAGCAGCCTGAAACAAACCCACACAAAGCAGGTGAAATAAATCAAACACAATCATATCGAGCCAATAATACAGTCTAACAAATTATCATTATATGAGTGTGACAAGTTTATGCATGAATGCCTTAGTGCTTTTTAATATATACTGTACAGATGTTTGATTATCCAATTATTCTCCGAAGGCTAAGTTAAGATCGGAAACCATTGGCAGTCTTCTTTTATTATTGCCACGTTTTTATTGTTACACTCATCACCATGAAAATATTTTACCTCGGAAAGTATAAAGATTGAATATTAATAATGGAAATTTATATGGATGCTACAAGAAAAATGTCATTTAAAAAATAACAGTTACACCCCAAAATGATATTCTAGTCTTAAGTGAATAGTCTCTTGTGAATATATGTACTGTGAAAGCTTAAAAGGCAGCTTTAAAAAATTAATGGTTTTGGGTGTTGCTAAGGTTTCAGATCATTTTACAATAACAGCATCACTGCGATACTTGATAATCTTGGAAAGGCAAAATCATATGTGTCTTAAATGCCACACACAGTCACTGAGTTTCTCCGACACAAATGTAGTAAATTGAAGCTTTTGAACTTTATTCCTACTGACAGTAGATGAAAAATTAAACAACCTTTGAATCTCCAATCCTGTTGCCTTCTTCATCAGTGACTGGTATTCCTCTTACCAGTTCTCTATGAGCAAAATCATGAAACAAAACATTATTCTTCCCAGTGAAATAATTAACTCTACTTATTTTTGTGAAAGATTTAAACCCAGGAGTCATTTCAAAAGTAGGTTGAGTTTGATCGTCTGGGTGAATGTAGTCCTGAATATATCAGATCAATAACCAAAGTATAATACCATCAACTGACGTGATACAACTCACTTTGACTCTGAAGATGACTACCGGACAGGTTGTCGAAACGTCAGTCACTGTCAACAACAACAGTCCTACTCAGGACTACATTCACCCATACCATCAAACTCAACCTACTTTCTACTTATTTTTATTAATTCATGTACTCTAGGCACTGCTTATTCTGAGGTGCAGGACTGCAATTCAGCTTTGTACATGTAATTCTAATAAATTCCTAAGGGATGAGAAAAAAATTTAATGATCTTCGCGTAGCTACAGTTATTCAGTGAGACCAAAATTAATTAAAACAAAAATGGATGAATAAAATTGTCTGTAAATCAGCACCTTGGGTTAAACCCTTTAATCCCAAGATCCACATACAAATTCTCCAGACTGATCTCCATACATTTCTTTTAAGAATAGTTGAGAGAATTTGATTTAAGATCAACGCATTCTTCCTTTGGTAATCAATTTAGTAATTCTCATAACCTTTGCTGATGTAGTTAGGAGAAAATTGATGTTGGGCACTCTTAAGACCTAAAGGGTTAAAGGCGCGAATGAGCCAAGACTTCCTGGTACAGGGCAGCACAGCTCTTTGCAACCCAGGATTATCTCACAGACCTGACTGAAGAGAATTATGATCTTTCCTTCTAAGGGAACAAAACAGTGCTAATGGCAAAGCCAGGCCAGGATCCACAGGTGGTCCAGTTACAGCCATTAGGCCATGGTACAATCTCTACAAATCAGTAACTTTAATAGTACAGTAATACTGTTAAAAAACACTAAGAGTGTTTTAACATACGTCTGTCTCATGCAAGGGATGTTCACACAGTTTGCAGCGGCAACAGCAGCAAAAGGTACATATCTTCCAATCAAAGGTGGTGCTGACTGCAGAACAACAGATGTTTGCATTTTAATTAAACTGCAAACTTTACCATCAATAGCTAAAATTTATGTGAGGAGAAGAGAGAATTAACTTTATGCCATTTGAGACAAAACATCTGCATAAAACAGCTGATTTATAATAGCTACTTTTACTCTAAATCTTATAAAAATATTTTGTGATAATAACAACTTTATTATAAACCCAACTGTCAAACACAGGTCCTCAAATATTTGAAGACTTCTGCTGCAATTTTATTCTCCATTTTTTTCCCTTGCCATGGCAGCCAAAACAGTTGAAACTTGGAGTGCCACACATTACAAAAAAGTCCTTTCATACCTTTGCCAAATGGTTTAGTCCCAAAGCTACTGCTATTGCTCCTGTTGTTGCAAATCCATAGCCAGTCAACAATTGCCTGTAGTGAAAGAAATCTTTATATTTATTAACCTTTAATTACACAATATGTGTTGATCAAACATTAATTTCTGTTCCCAACTTACAGTTGATATTGCCTACTTTTTCAAAACAAAAATAATAAACGTACTTATTCGTAATAAGGGAGTCACCACTCCTGTTTGTGTAATTCACAATGGCATTAAATGACTGATTAATCCACTGCCAAAACAGCACAGCTGATGTACTCCTGGAAAATCACAACAAAAAACAAACAAGGCTTGAGCATTATTGTAAGATAACGCTTCTTTTTAGATACAAGGTGATAAAATCACACAAAAAAGCAATAGATTCAGGGCTGTCAAAATGTTTTTAAGTAGCAGGCTGATAATGAATAGTAGGCGGCTTTGGAAAAACACCAAAGGCACAAGTTCTTGAGGGCCGAGGCATCTAGGGACATTTTGAAATTAAGAGTCTCGGAAATGGCAGTTCCAGGGGTTTTCAAAAGGTATTTTCCACAGCAGAAGCCATGTTATTTTGTTACAATACTTGCAAGACTGGGAATAATGCCATTGAAATGTTCCAGCTGTTCCTCAACATCGCACGGTTTGAATGTTTCACAGATCTAAACCTCTTTAGATATGCATTCAATGACATTAAACTGGACTTAAAAGAAGTGTATGTCCTTTTTGATTACTGTGTGTAAAATACGCACACATGTGCGTCAACGGAAACCCTGTATTCCCTAATAAGGATGAAAGAATACTTACTTGTAAAATGTCATCATACAGCCACATATTGACATGTTCATCGGTACTTGAGCTGACATGCGGCCAATAATGAACATTTTTTCTCCTGTGTCAGGATGGAATGCTGATTCATACATCTTTTTAGCTCTCCACACTTGTTCATCTGTTGTTCCTACTGGTTCATTTCTATGTCTGTTGGTGAAAAAAAACAACAACAACCATACAGCAACGGGCGTCTGGAAAAGCCGGAAACCGGAATCCGGAATAGGAACGGGAATAGGAACAGGGACAGGAAGCGGAACCGGAACAGGAACCGGAATGGGAACAGAAACCTTTATAAAAACAGGGACAGCATTTACCTTAATTTAAGTTAATCTTCATTTAATTCCTATTTAGATTACATACGAAAAATAAGGGAAAAATATAATAGGAACCAGAATAGGAAGGGGAATATAAACAGTGTATTGAAATATGAAAAGAAAAAGGTATAATCGTGATTTAAGTAAAAAGCCAGAAAAATTATAAAAGAAATAAGAAAACACCCTTGAAATGTTAATCTAATTAACCTTTCTTTATCTTCAGCCAGTTACAAATTGTGTTTTCATGTCAAACATAATAGCGAACTTAAAGAACGAGAACGCTGACCGTCGCGGGCTTCATGAATAGCAACCGCAAGTTTAATGTTTCACTTGATGGAACGCTTCTGTCTGAATTCTTCCTCTTACCTTCCACTATGCGAATTTGTTGAGTCAGAGCTCCGAAAGATAGAAAACATCTACTTCCACCACTGAGATTTTGAATTCGGGTCTTAATTCAAACTATTTCTCATTAAATCCAAATTGTCCAGTCTTTTAAAGGTTGGGAAATGAAGCTGGAGACCGCGTCCGAGCTCAGAAAGACACAATAAAATTTATCGCCTGCCGTTCACGTTCTCAAGAAAACTTAAGATTTGATCATTTACGTCGTTGTTGTGCATCGATGGTGAAGAAATTGAAAGATAGCACGATGCACTCGCAAAGCTGTTGCTTTACTTATTTTACTTGCTGCTTTTTTTACCTTCTTGTTGCCGTAATATAAAGAGAGTCAGGGGGGAGCATGATACCAGACTAGTTTTCTTTTTCTTTTTATCAATTGAATCAGAATTAAAATAATATAAGGTAAATGATGTCCCTGTTCTTGTATTGGTTCCCCTTCACATTACTGTCCCTGTTCCGTTGCCGTTTCCGGTTCCGGTTCCGCTTCCTGTTCCCATTCCCGTTGCTATTCCGGATTCCGGTTTCCGGCTTTACCAGATGCCCTACAGCAACAGTCCAATATACTTTTTCTAAACACAACAGCAGTCCTCAAACCCACACCTCTCTGCTTCTACCTGACGGTCTCTTTCTTAAAAGTCCAGGTACCTTTTTGGGCCTGGAAAGCTGTTTTATGTTTTCCACGTTTTACATCCAAGATAAACATTTTAACCCTTTAAGCCCCAATATACATGTACAAATTCTCCAAACTGATCTCCATACATTTCCTTAAAGAATGAGTTGAGAGAATTTGGTAAAAGATCAAAGCCTCTTCTCTTAGGCAATCATTTTATTAATTCTCATAACCTAATCTCTTGACATTGCATGGATATTGTTAGGAGAGAATTGATGTTGGTCACTATTGGGACTTAAAGGGTTTTAATAGATTTGAAAATGATCAAATGAAACTATAAGCAAAAGAAACAAAATTGACTGGTTTGTGAGCTAGGAACCATGCTACTAGATAACTAGTTTTGATTTTCAAACTTGCCGTAACGGCCAAAAAGTCACAGGGACTTTTGAGAAACACTCTGTCCCTTGATCATGCATCTTATAGGGGGTGTCGACTGATGTATCAATATCTCAGTCAGCTCTTGGTCAACATATCAGTCACTAGATTCAGTCAGGTGTTGGTTGAGAGCTGGTCAATATATCATTGGCCGAGTAGTATTTTACCATCGGTCAAGTATCGGTCAAGTATCACTCGATAGATAGACCAACAGTCAGTCGTGATAGCATCAGTAGTGTGTTGCGAGTGTGTCAGTGGTATATCAGTCAACAATCAGCATCACCTGTATAACTTTTTTACCAACCTCATCTCCAAGGCTTTTCCCTTACAAGGTTACAAGGTACTTGTCAAGTGATATGAGGTGGACAGTATTAATAGTTACACAACTCACGGCCTATTTTAATCTTAGAGAGAATGTGCTTAATATTATATGTGTTACAGGCAGCCTCGATTGATGGTAGCAGTCAATGCTTGGTCAAAACGCTGGTCGCTATGAGGTTGACACATTGGTTGATACTCGACTAATGGCCAGATATCCGTCTACACTCAACTGATACTTGACCGGTATATCCGCCAATATGTCAACCAAGGTATCACCTATTACATTGACCACATATTGGTCATATGTTGGTGATCTGTCGGTGTTCCATCAGTGAAGTAACCACCGATAAACTATAGTGGCATACTACTGGCCATATATCAGTCAAGACTTGTCTGACCCTAGATCAACAAGAAACCAACACTCAGTCGATAAGGCAACTGACATGTGGACCAACAGTTGACCAAGATATGGGCCGATACATCAGTCGACAAACCCTATGAAGTGCAGAAACCTTTTGTTATACTTAAATACCACTGACATTTCCATAGTGTTCCAAATCAAATTGAAAATATGTTTCTAAACAATAGCATCGTGTGAAAGAAGAGCTGCGGGGCTTTCTCTTACAACCACATGTTAAAAAAAGGGATT